ACCCCACTCCGGCCCTGAAAGGGTTAAAAGCCAGACTTTAGAGAGGGCTGGGCCTGAGAGCCAATAAGAATAGGCTGATTGGGAAGGCAGCCACAGCTGGGGCCATGCCCAGGTAGGAGACAGCTGGCCCTATAGAAGGGTTGTGAGCCAGGAGCTGGGGCAGTCTCTCTCTAGCTCTTGGGAGAGAAGGACCTGGCTGTGCCTGGGAGCTCAGGGTACAGGGAACAGAGCAGGACTGGGGAAAGGCAAGAGGAGCTGGGGAGCTCCAGCTTGGTAAATCCCCAGGCTGCAGGCCTTGTGCAAGGCCTAAAACAGGTACTGGGCTTGCAGGGGTGCAGCCCGGGGCTAGGCAGAGGCAGCTAGTCCAACCCCCTTGCCAATGATGAGTGGCTGCTAGTTCCTGGCTACAGAGGCTTGGCAGAATTCAAATTGTATTGTTCTCGATTCGATTCCAGTTTATCTTTAGACTTTTCTTAGATTTTTTGCTATTTAAATGTTCACCGTTGTGGGATATTATGGAGGGGTCAGACGCGAATTATTTAATGACAGTAACGTTGAGGGGAAAGTAACAGCTTTGTGAGTGCTGCACAGTTACCTGCAGCTCTAGCTGCGCTAATGCCCGAGTCGGCTGGTTTAGCAGAACTGTCAAGCCGTGGTTTCTGCAGCATTCATTGCATCACACTTTAAACACACTGAGGGGGGATGCTAGTAAATTCTCAAGCAGCATTTCTCTTGCGTTGTCTATCTGTACATTTTCATTTTTATTGCTGAAACTATTTCTTGGTGGCTTTGTGTGTGAGTGGAGAAATCGTCGTTTACTGACATTTCCCAATAAAAATCGAATCCCTCCAAGCGTAAAGAGAGAAGAGATGTGAGGAACAGTACAGGAAGTTTTGGTGAGGATGCCAGCCCGATAATGACATTGGCTAGACACAGCTGAGAAGCCTCAGCAAGACCCAACAACTTGGCTTTCTAAAAACAGGGCACTAATTAAACAATAACTCTGTCCCTGTGCTGAAAAGGGCTCCCTCCTTTCCAATTTAGCAGCTATTAATTGAAACCTTTGCACACCTCTCTCAAACACTCTTGACTGCCAACATGGAAGCAATTACAGGGTATGCCAGGCAGCACACCCCCACACTTGAAAAGGAGAGTAACACTGGGGCAGCTTTTCCAGCTAGCATCACAAAATAAAGGCACATCCCAGTGTTCGCTGAGGAGACGGCAACCCATGTGCAGGAAAAGTGCTGCCAAAGGGGTGGAGGAGAGTCGAGGGGCTGAGCCAGGAAACAGCTTTATTCCCCCTCCATGTGCTTCACCATCTCCCTGGCCACACTCAAGTGACATTTCCTTATTTCCCGTAATTCCAGCTGCTAGGGGCTGCCACACAGGGACTCCCCAGACTGGGTCTGCTGACTGAACAGTAAACTCCTGTGTGGCAGGGAAGGAAAGAGTGTGGTGATCGCACAGCTGAACACGGGGTCCCCCCCCAACAGGCCTAGATTTCACAGGCTCTTTTATCCCTTAACAAGACTCTATTAATTGCTTCTGAGGGGCGGTGCCTTGGGCTTTCTCCAGCTTGCTCCATCTGAAAGCAATCGGCAGCTCTCCTTCATTGACAAAACACAGAAAACAACCCAAACGCTCTGTATCCAAACCCAGGGGAGAAGAGTGCCTGGTCCGGTGGGGTGGGGCGGGCTGGGGTTGGCAATTGGACAAGAGACTCTCTTCTCTAGGTCTCCATGCCAAATCCAACATAAGTGATCAGTGGGTGAGCATCGGAGAATACGGATGCCACTACATAAAGCTGGGGTGCAGCGGAGGGGACATAGGGAGAAGTATAAAAATATTGCTCAGGCATGCAGGAGTGAAATCAGGAAGGCCAAATCACACTTGGAGTTGCAGCTAGCAAGGGATGTTAAGAGTAACAAGAAGGGCTTCTTCAGTTATGTTAAAAACAAGAAGAAGGACAAGGAAAGTGTCGGCCCCTTACTGAATAAGGGACGCAACCTAGTGACAGAAGATGTGGAAAAAGCTAACATACTCAATGCTATTTTTGCCTCTGTCTTCAGACTGCTGCACTGGGCAGCACAGTATGGGGAGGAGGTGACCAGCCCTCTGTGGAGAAAGCTAGATGAACACAAGTCCATGGGGCCGGATGCGCTGCATCCGAGGGTGCTAAAGGAGTTGGCAGATGTGATTGCAGAGCCATTGGCCATTATCTTTGAAAACTCATGGCAATCGGGGGAGGTCCTGGATGACTGGAAAAAGGCTAATGTAGTGCCCATCTTTAAAAAAGGGAAGGAGGAGGATCTGGGGAACTACAGGTCAGTCAGCCTCACCTCAGTCCCTGGAAAAATCATGGAGCAGGTCCTCAAGGAATCAATTTTGAAGCACTTCGAGAATAGGAAAGTGATCAGGAACAGTCAGCATGGATTCACCAAGGGCAAGTCACGCCTGACTAACCTAATTGCCTTCTATGATGAGATAACTGGATCTGTGGATGAGAGGAAAGCAGTGGATGTGTTATTCCTTGACTTTAGCAAAACTTTTGATATGGTCTCCCACAGTATTCTTGCCGGCAAGTTAAAGAAGTATGGGTTGGATGAATGGACTATAAGGTGGCTAGAAAGCTGGCTAGATCGTCAGGCTCAACGGGTAGTGATCAATGGCTCCATGTCTAGTTAGCAGCCGGTATCAAGCGGAGTACCCCAAGGGTCAGTCCTGGGGCCGGTTTTGTTCAATATCTTCATTAATGATCTGGAGGATGGCGTGGACCTCAGCAAGTTTGCAGATGACACTAAACTGGGAGGAGTGGTAGATATGCTGGAGAGTAGGGATAGGATACAGAGGGACCTAGACGAATTAGAGAATTGGGCCAAAAGAAATCTGATGAGGTTCAACAAGGACAAGTGCAGAGTCCTGCACTTAGGATGGAAAAATCCCATGAACTGCTACAGACTAGGGACAGAGTGTCTAGTCAGCAGTTCTGCAGAAAAGGACCTGGGGGTTACAGTGGATGAGAAGCTGGATATGAGTCAGCAATGTGCCCTTGTTGCCAAGAAGGCTAACGGCATTTTGGGCTGTATAAGTAGGGGCATTGCCAGCATATCGAGGGACGTGATCATTCCCCTCTATTCGGCATTGGTGAGGCCTCATCTGGAGTACTGCATCCAGTTTTGGGCCATGCACTACAAGAAGGGTGTGGAAAAATTGGAAAGAGTCCAGCGGAGGGCAACAAAAATGATTAGGGGGCTGGAGCACATGACTTATGGGGAGAGGCTGAGGGAACTGGGATTATGTAGTCTGCAGAAGAGAAGAACGAGGGGGGATTTGATAGCTGCTTTCACCTACCTGAAAGAGGGTTCCAAAGAGGATGGATCTAGACTGTTCTCAGTGGTACCAGATGACTGAACAAGGAGTAATGGTCTCAAGTTGCAGTGGGGGAGGTTTAGGTTGGATATTAGGAAAAGCTTTTTCACTAGGAGGGTGGTGAAGCACTGGAATGGGTTACCTAGGGAGGTGGTGGAATCATTTTCTTTAGAGGTTTTTAAGATCAGGCTTGACAGAGCCCTGGCTGGAATGATTTAGTTGGGGACTGAGCTTGCTTTGAGCAGGGGATTGGACTAGATGACCTCCTGAGGTCCCTTCCAACCCTGATATTCTATGACCTGCACCTGAGAGCAAAGTAACATTGACAAGAAATGAAAATGTGGGTACACCAGAGTTGGAGGCCCCTGGGAAAGGAGTCTGGGCTCTCAGTCCATAGAGTCATAGAATACCAGGATTGGAAAGGACCTCAGGAGGTCATCTAGTCCAATCCCTTGCTCAAAACAGAACCAATCCCCAGACAGATTTTTATCCCAGTTCCCTAAATGGCCCCCTCAAGGATTGAATTTACAACCCTGGGATTAGCAGGTCAATGCTCAAACCACTGAGCTATCCCTCCCCCCTCATTGGATATGTGACTTCTCACAAAACTACCATCACAACTGGCCCCTTCGCCGTCAGACTCAGCAGAGAAGCCAAGGATGAACTAGGCCCTGGAGACAGGATTCCTTCACACCCTTGACAGTAAATAGCTCCTGGAGCCGGGGCTCAGGCATTTAGGCTCCCAGTACAGGACCCATTCTGTGCAGACATTTCCAGTCTTCTGTGGTGGCAACCTGGCACCTTTCAGCAGTCTGGAGCTCCCTTCAAAAACGGCTTTTCCCTCTAACGAGACTGTCAGCATCTGAATACCCAGGGAGCACACTAGCCCTGAACTCCTATGCAGCACAACGTGGCGGGCCCACTGAGCCTTGCCAGAGCCTGCCACACTGACAGCTCTGCACTTGAAAGAGGAAATACTCCTGAATGATTCTATATTAGTGACACACATACACAGGGGCCTCAGCCAGGATCCCAGCATGCCTCTGCTTCGCAAATCTATGGGACCCTCTTACTCTGAGCTGGGAAGAAGAGAAAGAAGAGGGCAGAGTGAGCCCATGTCTGCCAAAAGCAGCCATTTACTATATCAATCACAAACAATCACAAGCATATCCGCAGAACTTAGTCCTTCAGTCTGAAGAAACACAGACCTTTACCATATGTGTCAACTCCTTTAGCTGCCAGTATTTAGCTGTGACATTCTGAGTTAGTTTCCCAGACCTGAAGGAGAGCTCTGTGTCGTCTCTGTCACCAACAGAAGTTGGTCCAATAAAAGCAATTACCTCACCCTCCTTGTCTCTCTAGTAGCAAATATGTCCCTTACCTTCTCTGTAGGCCCAACCGCTGGAAGGCAACATCATTCTCACACGCAGGTGGCTGCAGTCGTGGCCCACTCCCGCAGCACGCACAGCCAGCAGACACAAGTTTTACAGTGAGGGAGCTTTGCATGAAGCACTGAAACCCTGAAGCAGCTTTGATTGCTTGTTAATCAGCACCAGGAATCGACTCGTACTCTGGACACACCAGGCACTGAGTTGCCCAGGGTTGCTGCTGCGGGTGGTTTTACTCACTGATTTCCAGCTGTCTTTGAATCCTCCCTTTGCAGCGCTCCCTGTAGTCAGACTGGGTGGCATTGTACTCAGACATCACCTCCACAAACTTGCGCGACAATGTGGAATGCTGAAGAGGGAAGAGTAACAAAGAAAGTCACATTTTACTTAGTCTCATAGGGAGAGGGGCCATTCTCCATCAAGGCTTTTGTCAGGATGAGAAATTCACAGCTCTGAACCCCACATCACTAAAACTCCCCCACCCCACCTGGCATTTCCATCCCAGACAGAGTAACCCAAGTGACGACTGCACAGACATTCTACAGCTTCTGCAAAAATATCATCTGATGACATCAACCAGGTGGGGTTAAGACAGCTTGTCATGAATATTTATCACCCTGAGCACAAACTTGATGATATTTTACCCGCCTGTCAAAAGAAAATATTTGCCCTGGGAGCAGAGAGTTTGACAAGACTGACTGAAAGAGAAAACGTCGCTGTTCTAATTTAAATCTGAGAGCTACACTCAGCCGTTACTCCTGCCTTACTCAGGAAGATGCCCAGATGCACTGAGATTTGCTGAGTAGAAAGTTAAGCAAGGGCCCGGTTCCCTAGAAGGACTGTTATTGAGGGGACACCAAGGAATCAGGGCTGGAAGCAAAGCAGCCACATGGACAGAGAGCCCTGCAGAGCGGTTAAAATAGTTCCACTTGTTCAATGTAACCTGCATGCAGCCTCGCTCTTTGCTAACTCACAGCATCTGCAGTGCAGCAGCTGGCTGCGTGAGCCCTGAGGCTGGGTCCGGAGCCCCGGGTTTTGCAGACACAAACCTAGCCCAGCAACAGACCCGGTGGAAGGAGGAGTTCGAGCTATGCACAGACCTGGCCATGTAGGATGATGACATCAGCAGGAAAATAAAACAGTTATTTTACCTTATTGGGGGACAAGGGAGAGAGGGCTGCACCCCTGGGGAGCTCAGCACTTCCTCAAGCCTCACAGCAGGCCTATGGCTCCTCAACGCGACACAGGTTCTTCACTTGAGACCAATGCAGAGGGAAGGGGATAGAGCCCAGTGTCACTGCGATATGAACACAGGCTGCTCCATGCAATTTTGGGGACTTGACAGAGTACCTAATTCAGGTCAGTCTGCAGCACTTGGGGTCACCACCTGCAGGAGCAGCTGCTCCAGGAAGTACATCTCACATTAGACAGATGCTTAGTCCTGGGGCATGCAGCGGCAGCCTCAAGACAAAGGATGGAAGCCTCCGGAGGCACAACACACCGGCAGTACAGCAGTGAGACAGCAGCAAAGGAGGGCAGGCAGCCAGAGTTCCTTATCCATAGTGAGATGCATTTCCTGTGGGAGACCATGAGCGGGTGGAGAAGTGCCCTGCCCTAGGACAGCACTGCAAGGAACGGGGCAAACTGGACCCTGATAGCAGTGTGTGCAAGAGAAGAGGAGGTTGTACGAGTGGGGAAGGGGACATCAGACAGCAGTGATGACATCATGACTCTCTCCTTGAGTCCAAGAGCGTATCAGGTTCAGGCCGTCAGGATGGGAAAGCAACAAGGGACAATACCAACCTCTGTGCATGCAACAATGGTTCCAGGAAAACGGGCTGTGCTCTGAACCCTGCAGCGGGGCCTCCTGCCGTGGGATTCCTTGAGGTGAATTGGTCTCAGACACACCCATTACAGACAGCAGGCACAATCTAATAATGTACCACGAGAGCACAATGCAGCTCGTAGGAAAACATAACCTCATCGTAACTCACCTGAAAAATAACAGAGGGCAGAGCTGAGGTTTGTGGTAGTGAATGGTGAGCACCGCTAGCTCGTCGGGGGGATCACAGCGAGAAGTAAGGTTAAGATTTTGTCACGGATATTTTTAATAAAAGTCACGGACAGGTCACGGGCAATCAACAACAATTCACAGAAACCGTGACCTGTCCGTGACTTTTACTAAAAATAATGGGGGGACCTGACAAAGGGGGAATAACAGCTCCAGCCCAGGGTGACTCACAGCTCCGGGCTCCCGCCACATGGCTCACAGTTCCAGGGTCCACATTGCATGGCTCACAGCTCTGGGCTCCCGCCACATGGCTCACAGCTCCGGGCTCCACGCTGCATGGCTCAGAGCTCCGGGCTCCCACCACATGGCTCACAGCTCCGGGCTCCTGCCACATGGCTCACAGCTCCGAGGTCCACACTGCATGGCTCACAGCTCCGGGCTCCCGCCACATGGCTCACAG